TTTTTTTTTAAAGAAACGGGCCCAGTGGCCAAGGCTGATATTACCAATAAGAGGAATGAGGCCGGGGTCCTCACAGTCTGCCCGGAGAAACAAAACCGAACTTACTGAGAACCAGGCTCAGCGTCCTTCATCAGGTGACTATGATGATGATGATCCTGATGGTGATGATGATCCTGATGATGATGATGATACTACTGATGATGATGTTGATGATGTTAAAAGATTGTTACAGTATTAATTGTGATAAGCTATGCTATACCAACAGTTCTGATCTCCTAATCCTAGAGCAACTTCTAGCCTTCCTTGTACCAGGACATTGTAAAACAGAGACAATACCGACCTAACCAATGTCCCCCGTAGCTGATCTCTCCTCGCCACGGAGCAGCCCCCCCCGGTTCACCAGTGGATTGTCTTCCCCCCTCGGCAACCCCCAGATCTCTCTACAAGGCCTCACGCTCCTGCCTATGCGGGTTAAAGGGCAACGCCCCAGCTCCGGCCAACGTCGTTCTGGCGTCGGCAAGATAGGGGCACAGAAAAGAACAGCTCTGCAGATATCGGTCCGGGTTCGACCATCCCTGAAATCCTATATCCCGGATGTAGAAGAAAACTCGATGCTGCCCAAAAATCACAGGACTCCAGAAAACTTAGTATAACATTGATGCGATGATGATACTAATGATGATGATGATGATGATGATGAAGATGATTATGCCTTTTTTATTTTTTTTGAGAATTCTAAAGAAATTGAGTGCACCACCTTTATTAGATCTAAAGGAGTGTGAATGCTATGCTATATCAGCTATTCCAGCTTCCTAATCCGAGAGCAACTCCTAGCCCTCCCTATACTGGGACACTGCTACTCCAAGACATGACCCACCAAAACAACATCAACCATAGCTGACCTCTTCTCGCCCCCGAGACTATCCTCGGCCCTAGAGGGTGTCAAGGCGGCCCCCCCAATTCGCCACTGGATTGCCTTCCTCCCTCGGCAGACCCTAGATCTCTCTACAAGGTCTCGTGCTCCTGTCGTGGCAGGTTACAGGGTGAGCACCCCAGCTCCGACCAGCGTCGTTTTGAATTGGCAAGTTGAGAGCATAGAACAGAGCAACCCTATTGATGTCAGTCCAGGTGCAACCATCTCTGAGGTCGAAGATCCTAATAAAGAGGAAGAACCGATGCTGCTCTAACTCTCAAAACCCCAGAAAGCTGAAAATATCATAATTGGTCCAAGAAGTTTCCAATAGTCACCGCGCAGAGAAAAATTCCCCCTACACCACCACCGTTGTCCCTTGCTGCCACTGCAGAGGAGATTCACCTCGGCCCCAACCTGGAACAGATCCCCTCCCTCCCCCTTCTGCTAAGGCAGTCAATTCCCACCTAGAGGGTGCCTTCGACCTCCCCTTTGTCCCTATCTGCCCCCGCCGGGGTTGAAGGTGACCAACTCTCCTACCCCGGCCCCAAACAAGGACAAACCACAAATCTGCCCCACTCCCAACAGAGCAGCCACCTCCCTCCTTGCAGCGCCCCTGTACAGTAAGGCTCCCCAACGCCCCCCCACCCATTCCCCAAAAATCCCCGCCGTGACCGCAGAAACCCTAGTCCGAGATCAAATGAAGCAGTCAATTGTCCTCAATGAGGATCTCATAATAGAGCATACGAAAAGGTAGATGAGATTTTTGGATTTTTGCTAATGACGCTGGACAGCACCCTGAAGATGATGATGATGAGTATGATGGTGACGACCAACTCACCTGCTGTTTGAAAACAAACTGATGATGATGATAATGGCGAGGATGGAGACTGAATGATGGTCCTGATCATGGTAAAGAGCGGCACCAACAGCCCCTGTGAATACAAACTGATGATGATGATGATGATGATGATGATGGTGATGATGGTGATGATGATGATGGGGATATCGGTAATGATTGTGATGATGATGATGGCTGATGCTGATGATGCTGACGCACAGCGCCCTGTAATGACAACAGGATGATGATAGTGGTGATGGCGATCATCACTGATGATGATGATTTGATGATAACGATGATGATAGTGGTGATGGCAAGCATCACTAATGATGATGATTTGATGATGACGATGGTGATGATGATGACGATGATGACGCACAGCGCCCTGTGATGACCAAGGAATGATGATGGTATTGATGACGAGCACCTTTGATGATAACCTGATGATGATGATGTTGCTGATGATGGCGATGATGATGATGATGATGATGATGATGATGATGATGCAAATGATGGTGTTGATGACGAGCACCTTTGATGATAGAACCCTGGTGATGATGATGGTGGTGACGAGCGGCACCCTGATGATGATGACGAATCATTATCGTGGTGACGATATCGATGATGAGCCACGCCCTGTTGATGCTGCTGCTGATGATGATGATGACGAGCAGCACCCTGACGATGATGATGCTGGCAAACCTTGATGATGATGATGATGATGACGAACATCAGCTTGATGACGAACTGCGCCCCGGATAACCTCGTTGTGATGGCGATAACAGTGCTGATTGTACTTGATACCATGTCCAAGCTCCGCCCCTGGTGACGAAAGCAGTAGTGATAGTGATGGCAAGGATGATGGCGAGCAGTACCCCAATGGCAGGCCGTTACTGTAATCACTCACACTTCAGGGTACCTAGGGCTAACTCCACTGTACTCCACAGACATCGACAAAGCCAACGCCTCTCAGGCTGAAAGCCACGTGCAGCAACGCAGCGGCAATGGAGTAAAACGTGGAACTCCCGGAAACTGAACGCCACCGGGAGTCAGACCATCTACCACATCAACTTGTGAGATGGTGTGGTCAAGCGCCTGCGATATCCTGTGCGTGCGTTAAGTGCCAAAACTTCAAAAAAGACCGCCATCGCTGCCGCGCGCCATCTCCAGGAGCACGTAGTGTCGGGCGGGGCGCAGCGCTCCCGGCAGCGCTGACTCCTTCAAGGCGGACTTCTTCCATCTCCCTGGTGCACCTTTTCCACCAGATTGCCCCGTGGCAGGTCTTTTCTAATTTTTCCAATTTTTCCAATGCCTTGCTCAGTCAATCCCCTGGATTCCAGGGTAATCAATGCTGGCAAGGGTCCTCCACATTGTTTTCCTGATCATATTTTGTATATGGGACGCTGGACCCGCTTTCCAGCAGGTGATGCTCCCCACCAGTAGATGGAGCCTCTTCCCGTGTGGTAGCGGTGGCTGCTCTTATCAGCACCACTATCACCGGGGGGTGTTAAAAAAAAAAAAAAAAACAACATAGTACGTAGTTTTTTTTTTAGATTTCCTACTTAGTAGTTGCTTCATAGAAATTCCTTTTTTTTTTAGGAGCTTTTTTTTTTTAAATAACAAACTTTATTATACAAGCGTCCGTTGGCAAATGCTTCTGCGTCCCCCTAGCGAGGAGGGCATCACCGGCCCACCCTGAAGGAGGAGACACAGCGGTCACCACAGTAAATTAAGCTTGTTCAAGTACCTGTCAAATCTGGACAGGACGCCTTTCAGGCAGGCTTTTTTTTTTTTTTGCATTTACAAGGTGCGGTGCAAACAAACACAAAACAGGTAGATTATCCCCCGCTCCCTTCCTCCCCCCCCCCCCCCCCAACCCACGAAAAAAAAAAACAAAAAAAAAAACCACCTTTATTAGGCTTGTTGAACCCCCAACTTGAAGATGTTTGGCTGAATACATGTAGCCTTCTGCAGAATGCCCTGAATGCGGTGGACCACCACATTCATCGTGGGCCTCTCATCATCCTCTAACTTGACGCACACCCAGGCCAACTGGATCATATCCATAACCATCTCTGTTGCTGAAGCCTCGGCCACTTCATCCCTCAGACAAGGATCCAGAAAGGCCCGGAGCATCTCAAGAGCAGGCCGGCAGGGGGGCACTTTGGTCTGAGACTGCTTCCCTCCCTCAAGGAATGGCTTGACCCATTCCCTCAGCGTCAGCACGCCCTCCGTCCCAGAAGGCGACCGTGTGGCGGCCTTCCTCCCCGTGAGCAGTTCGAGAGCGAGGACTCCGAACGCGTACACATCATTTTTCTCGGACAGTTCTCCTCTGAGCAGGTACTCAGGGGCCATGTACCCGAATGTGCCGCTAATGTGGGCCGTCTCTATGAGGTCGTGTTGGTCATCTCCAAAAACTCTCTCCCCCATCGTCGCCAACCCGAAATCTGCGAGAACGGCATGAAGCTTATTTCCCTTGCCGTCGCTTAGAAGGACATTGCTGCTCTTGATGTCCCGATGGATGATTGGTCGCCTGGTGCTCCCATGGAGATAGTTCAAGGCCAGCGCGATCTGGAAGGCTATACTCATGCGCTCCTCAAGCGTCAACGGCGGCAGACTCGGAAGAGTCTTCTCAAGGTGGGCATTGCCGAGGCTCTGCTGCTTGCTTTGCAGGCGCTCGTACAGGCTTCCCCCTTGATAATACGGATACACCAGTATGCAACGATTTCCCTCTTCGCAAAAGCCGATCAGTTCAATCAGGTTTACATGATTGACTCTGCACAATGCGTTCACNTAATACGGATACACCAGTATGCAACGATTTCCCTCTTCGCAAAAGCCGATCAGTTCAATCAGGTTTACATGATTGACTCTGCACAATGCGTTCACCTCCGCAACGAACTGCTTCCGCTTTTCCCTCGTGAGATCGCCGGCCATCACCTTGATTGCCACCTCCTTACCGTCGATATTGCCCCTGTATACTTCCCCGAATGCCCCCTTCTGCCCGATCCGATAGCGATCGTCGAAATTACAAGTACAGAGCGACAAGGTCGCTAAATCGAACTGCCGTATCAGAGACAAGTTGATATCCCTCCCCAGCCTCTCCCATCCCGACCCCGACCCCGTCGTCGACGTTGTGCTTATCGACATGCTGGTACAGCTGCTGAGGAACCGTGATACCCGGCCGCCCCCCGGCCCCTCCTCAGCTGCTGGGGGATGCCTTCTCCGCCGCCTGACGATAACTAGAACAAAAATGGCAATGGTCACCACCAATGCGAATCCCACAAGAATAGGGATCGCAATGCGGGAAACCCAATCAGGGATGATGGGGTCACGGTGGGGAGGAGGACGTGCACATGTGGGTAGGGTAGACTTGTTCATTTCCAACTCGTAAATAACCCCATCATTGGTTCCTACGTAGAGTCTGAGACGGTTGCCACTATCATAATCATGCAGCGCTAAGCTCACAAACCCCACACTGTGATGACGAGCCTCGAGGATGGTTGAGACGGATGTGGCCGTGGTGCAGGGAGAATCAAGCTGTAGCCAGCGAACGGAGCCGGGGCGTGCGTCAGTTGGGTCCTCGGTGACAAAGACATTGCACCCATCCGGAGTTGTCGCTAAATGTGTCATCCATCTGAACGAAGAACTGCGGCCATCCCCATTAGCGGCACCCACCTGTCCCGTTCCCGCGACGAGAGTATACTCATAGGTCAAGGGATCGAGTCCCCACACACTGTACAGGGTTGGGTCGGCGAAGTAAAAGCACCTCCCGTCTGCAATGCCGCTCTGGAAGAACAGCCGCATGCTGCTAGCCCCGGAACCCATACTACTTTCTTTAGGGCGTATCTCTCTCCTTGTGGGGTCGACGCTGAGTGGCATCCCCGAATCACTAAGCTGCGTATGAAGTATCGCCAATGGAGAACGGTCAGCCTCCACCATGTAAAGACTTGTCTTGTTTGGGGCCGTCGAAAAGGTAACGTCGTTGAATTCCTCTACCGCAACGGAGAGACGGGAACCGTTAATCGTTGATATCGACGTCATCGTTGATGATCCTCCCCCGCCGGTACTGGGAATCGTAAATAGAAAAAGATGTGTCCCATCCACTGCGATATTCAATCCCAGAAACCGTGCCATCGTCTCGTTGCTGATCTCGCCAGAGCCAGAGATACGTGTTCCGTTCGGTGTGGAGTACGGCCACCAGTACGTGACAACGAGAGACTCGTCCGTGTCTGGGTAGATAGGAGTTTGCTGCTCCAGGGAGAGATTCGCTCTCCTAAGGGACATGCTTACCCACTCGACGGCTTTCCCACTGGGCCAGCACAAGTCGGCCAGCATATAGTACAGACTGCAACTGGCAGACGAGACCGCCAGCGGCGCCAGATGAAAGATGATTCGCCCACAGTCTTCACGAGATGCGGCGAACCTAGCGTACTCCTTTGGGTGGTAGATTGCGACTCTGATTGATGCGTTCACAAACAATGACTCGTTCAGAACCGTCGGTTCTGGCGTTGGAGTGGATGGTGGAGCCATAGCAGAGGCCGGAGATGGCGGTGGCACAGGGGGAGGCATAACAGAGGCTGGAGATGGTGGGGTAGCAGCAGGTGGTTCCATAACAGAGGCGGGAGACGGCGGAGTCACAGGACCTGTTAGAGACCTTGCAGTAGGCAACGATCGACGTACAGATGGTTGGGCTCCAGGTCTATCTAAAACACAGGCTGGAGATGGGGACCCTGATGGTGGAGCCATTACACCAGAGGCCGGATATGTCTGTGGCGCAGGGGGAGGGGTAACAGAGGGTGGAGATGGTGGGGTAGCAGCAGGTGGTTGCATAACATAGGCTGGGGACGGCGGAGTCACAGGACCTGTAAGAGCCGTTGCAATAGGCAATGATTGAGGCACAGATGGCTGGGCTCCAGGTCTATCTAAAACAGAGGCTGGAGATGGGGACCCTGAGGGTGGAGCCATTATACCAGAGGCCGGAGATGTCTGTGGCACAGGGGGAGGCAGAAGAGAGGCCCGGCCCGGAGATGGTCGGGGTGCAAACCGTGCAGGTGGATCCTTAACAGAGGCCAGAGACGGCAGTGCTGCAGGTTGAGCTATAACAGACCCTGGAGATTGCGGCGTTGGGGGGGGAACCATGCCAGAGGCCAGAGATGGTGGTGCTGCGGGGGGCATAACGAAGACCGGAGATGGCGGAGACACAGGTGGAGCCACAACAGAGGCCTGGAGCAGGCGCAAGCTCTCTTGGTCGCTGCCGGGCTCGGCGACTGAGGTTCTCAAGATTACACTCGTGAGCAGTAGTCCTCCGGCAAAGAACAGCGCACAGACATATGGAGGAGAAGTCGTGAGAGACCTGTACCTCAGGACACGTGGGATCATGGAGGTAGGCACAGCCGTATGCGGTCCATGGGAATGCTCCGAAAGGGCTTTTCCACCAGTACGATGCAGCTCCATAGAATGGATGGCAAATCACCTTCCTCCCTGACTGGCCACGTGTAACTGCAGGCAAGAAGCATCCACCGTGAGCGGCGTGAGGAAATCAGAAAGGAGAATCACAAAGAGCTTTCAACACCCGTTTCCTATCACATGATGCACAAAATGGCCTTTCTAAAATTAGCTATTAGAAAAAAAAAAAAAAAAACACTTTTTATTGCATGTGAATGTGAATGTGAACATCAAGGTCAATCACAAAGAGGCAATCAAACTTTTTATTGCATGTGAATGTGAACATCAGGGTCAATCACAAAGAGGGAATCAGGCTTTCACACGTAATGGTAGCTGCAAAGTTCAAACCCATAGAAACGCTTGGGGGAAAAAAAAGAAAAAAAAGAGAAAAAAAAAGAACTCTTGGAAAAAAGGAGATGTAATGGATGTGAGTAATGCAGCACAGATGAATATATGCGTGCATCCGGTGTTCCAAGAATGAAATGAATAACAGAACACCTCCCTCTTGCCTTGTGCACAACGGCTATAGGTCAGTCAATATGGTGTTCACCCGAATAGAACGCCCGGTCATTATAGCCACATTTGTGCAAACGTTCAGTCCAGATGCAGCCATTATGACTGGGGCCATTCTTTTCGGGTGAAGACGGTAGGTCTTTCTTTTTTTTTTTTTTTTTTTTTTTTTTTTTTTTTTTTTTTTTGCTTTTTTCCCTGGGTAAGGTTTGTGAATTACTGGCCAAAGGCTGGGGCCGCCAGCGAAAACAGTGTTTTTTTTGGTTGCCCTGGAGGGTCGGCCCGAAAGGGCGCGCGGCCCTTTTTCAGGCTGGGCATAGATAGCTGGGCCAAGTACTGGTGGTTTAGCCACCAGTACCTCTGAACCTCTTCTCCTGACATAAACAGCCATTTCCTTAAAATGGACATTTTATACTTTTTATGGTTTTATCAGAATTGAAAAAGACCTATTTGGCCCAAAAATGTTGAAGTTGTTAGCTCCTGAGGGTCCGGGGGCCGGGGCCAAGTCCCACATACATACACCGTTGAGCCAGTTCAATGTTGAACTAGGTCAACATGTGTGACCCCACACGAGGTCTGAGATGCATAGGGAGCTGCACATCCAGCGGTTGTTCTTAGGTGTATAAAATACAAAGACTTTCGTTTTTGTTTTTTGGTTAGAGGGTTTAGGATAGCTCTTGAGCGATGCCTTGTCATCTCCTTGCCCACTCTATGTTTCACAGGGTGTTTTGAAATGAAATTTTGTAGATTACCCGCGAGTGTACCAATGCAGTGTGGTCCTATATTAAACTGTGCTGGGGAACGTAGACAGGGTGACAAGTGTACCTTGCGCTTCTCTCTGTCAACGACTGCCCTCCCTTCTGGATCATCTCAGGGTAAATTTGGGCAGATGTGGGGTGACACATGTTATAATCTTTTAGGGATTGACTGCCCCCCCCCACCCCTTTTTTTTTTTCCACTTTGTAGGGTATGATCACCACCGATGGGAAACTATGGTAGGGCAGAGTTCTATTCTGTCATGCAGTGGGGTTAATCCTTCCCTGGTGGGGAAGCAATCAATGCCCTTCGCTCATGCAGTATTCATGATGCATAGGGAAGCTGTTTCTATGGGAGCAGTGGCCGAGGCTCTTCCAGCCCTAATGGGAAGAGGCGTGTGTTTGCGCTGTATTCAATTAGTTAATTTGAGCCTTGGGCACTGGGTCCCTTTTCGAAAAAAAAAAAAAAAAAAAAAAAAAAAAGGTGCTGAAAAAACCCTCCGCCCGAATACAACACCCCCTACCCTGCCCATCTTCCGTTGAACTACATACCCCACTTGGAGTGGGGTATGCCCCAAACTCGTTTCTGCGAATGCACCAAGCCAGGAGTACTGTCTACGTTCATTTCATGTTTTAGCGAGTCCCTATCTCGGACGTTGCTACGCTGGACTCACAAAAAAGTTCAAGCGTAGATCAAGAGCTCCCAGACAAGAGAAACGCTCACAATAGCCGTCACTGACTCTCGACGGCCCTACTCTTGAAGGATTCTTGATTTTTTTCTTCTTTTTTTTTTCCAGTCTTGAATGCTACATGACGGTGCAAAGCTGCTTTGTCCACCCAGACTGGAGGCCCGCTCTTGAAAGCTGAAGAGCTCGTGAAGGGTCGCGCCGACCACCCTTAAAAAACCCACCCTTGCAGGCAGGCACACTTGAACACTTCAAGAGCTGTCAGAATCGGGCCTTCTGACACCTCTTGAAAAAGAAATTCAAGAGCATCCATCAAGAGTGAGTGCAGCGATGACTCACCCTTGAAGAATCTAGCGCCGATCTGACAGCTCTTGAAGCTGTTTCCCAGCTTTGTTTTCGAGTGTAAGTGCGGTGGTGTCGTACACTTGATTGTTCAAGATTCAAGTGTAGTGCAGCGAGGCCCTTTCACTGAGGATTGTTGTATTTTCCATTTTACTTCTTAGAGAATACGGACAAAAAATTCAGTAGCATTTGGTTATTCATTGCTTTTTGGAAAATAGGGGAAGAAAAGTTTTCAGCAGCATTTGATTCTCCTTTTTTGCCTTTGTTTCAAGTTTTTAAGTTGCAAAAACCGTGTCACACGGTTGCGTTGAGCTAGTTCAACGGTGCATGTGGGACTTGGCCCCCGGACTTTTAAGAACGCCAGACCCTCAGGAGCTAAAAATTTGGACCTTTTTTGGGCCAAGTAAGTCTTTTTCAATTTAGTTCAAAAAATATAAAATGACAATTTTGAGTCTTGAACCAGCAGTACCTTTCCCAGTTATTTTTTCAGAGACACGCCGGGTAATGCGCTGGCGGCCGCCGATAAATCGAATTGGCAGCCAGTCTTGATTTTTGGGCCCGCTCACAGTGCCCGCGGGGCCGCGACCGACGTTTGGGAAAGGTACTGGTGGTTTAACAAAATGGCTGTTCATGGTGGAATTGCACTGCCTGCCAAGCTTCACTGAACCGCCAGCAGCACACTTCTTCTTTTCTTTTTTGGCTGGCTCCACAGCCATTTCTGACCCCCATAGCACTGTAACAGTTCACCTCCTGCAATCTGTGATTGGCCCAATTTCGATTCTCAAGTTTACCTGGGCCAGAGGTACCAGTGGGCGAGATACCAGTAGTTTCTACTTTTTTTTTTTTTCCTCCGAGACACCAGTACTTGGCCCATACATCGGCCATGGGGGGTTGTCGTTAATGCCCCACAACTTCCTGAGGCTCCGGGTACCGGCCCTCAAAGGCTGGCGCCGCCAGCCAAAACAATTTTCCTTGTTGCTCTGGCGGGTCGGCGCGAAACTGCGCGCGGCCCTTTTTCAGGCTCCGCATCTATAGCGGCGCGAAATACTGGTGGTTTAAGTGTCTTAGAGCAAGTTCACAACAGTACAGGTAGCTGAGCAATAATATCCATCCACTCAAAAGGCCACTACCTTGGCGGGCCTGGCTTAAACCACCAGTACCTCGCTCAGCTATCAAGTCCGAAGCTCGGACTACCGGTAGCCCGATAATTCCCGAGCCTCGGACTTTATGGCCGAGCGTCGGACAACCGGTAGCACATCACAGAAACAAAAAAAACAAAAAAAAAAACAAAAATGACACATTCAACGTTCAGCAGAAGGAAAAAAAAAAAAGAAACGAAATCAGACGTGCCCTATGAGAATGAATCTTCCCCGACAAAGAGGAAGATTCATTCTCGTAGAGGGTCAGAGAGAGAGAGAGAGAGAATGGGCCTCGCTGCACTACTCTCGAAAAGTGCGAAGTGAGAATGAATCTTCTGCAAGAACATGGAAAGATGCGCCGCCATAT